CCCCGGCCCCCCCCCCCCCCCCATTTCCCCCCCCCACGCCCCCTCCCGCCCCCCACTCACATTCTGCAGGTTGTTGTAGAAATCCACGCTGCCGGCGCAGAGGTAGCGGCCCAGCAACGTGGCGTGGGTGGTGAAGATGGTGGCCACGGGCAAGCGGCGCGCGCGGCACAGCACCAACCCCAGCCCTGCCAGCCACTCGTGGAAGTGCCCCACGATGAAGGGACGGTCCTCGCTCTGAGCTGCAAACTGACCCGGATCCCCCATCCCCAAAACGGCACTGTTATCAAGGGGGGGACGACACACAAGGGGCTGTGTCCCCTCCCTCAATGGGGTCATTCCAAGGGAACCCCGAAGCCTCCAAAACTTTCAATGACTGCCAGGACCCCCCAAAGACCCTCAGGACCGTGTCCTCTTCCTCACCGTGGTCGTTCTAGGGGACCCCAAATCTCCTAGGACCCATAAAGCCCCCCCCAGAATTGTATCCTTGGCTTCAGCAGGGTCATTCCCCGCTGAATGTGGGGCCTCCCCCCCAGGATCGTATCCTCTCCGTCACTGCAGTCACTCCAGAGGACCCCAAAGCCCCTAGGACCCCCAAAGCCCCCAGGGCTGCGTCCTCCCTTTCTCCACAGTCATTTCATGGGAAACCCAAAGTGCCCCAGAATCCTAAAAGCCTTCCAGAAAGCCCCAAAACTTCTTCCAAATCTCTGAGGACCCCCAAAACTTTTGTGGGGACCCTCAAACCCAGCTTTCCCAGGAACCAGCTGACAACAAAACCAAACAGCACACCATGAGAACCCAATCCCCATTTGACATCCCCCAGAATTCTCCCAGATATCCCCCAAATTTCTTCAGACATTTCTTCTTGGGGACCCCCCAGACCCACCTCTCCCAGCAAGCAGATGACGAGGAAACCAAAGAGCACGATGTCATTGGTCTCTGACTCACACCAGCACACCCCGATCCTTTTTGAGATCCGCAAAGATCCTCCAAAACTCCCTTAACACCCATCTGGGATCCCCAGAACCGCTTTAGGACCCCCTGCTCCAAAACCCACCTCTCCAAGGAACCAGGCGTTGAGCAAGCTGAAGAGCACAGCGTGACAACCCAATCTGCCCTTGGCATCCCCATAACTCCCCCAGAATTCCCCCAGGCGTCCCCCAAACTTCTTTGGGGATCCAAAACCACTCTGGGGACCCCAGAACCTCCCTTGGGAACCCCAAACTATTTCTTCCAGCAAGCAGATGATGAAGAAACCAAAGAGGACGATGTCACTGCTCTCTGACTCGCACCAGGACACCCCGATCTGTCTTGAGACCCCCAGAGATCCTCCAAAGCTCCCTCAACACCCACCTAGGGGGGACCCCAGAACCAACTTTGGGAACCCCCCTCCCCAAAACCCACCTCTCCCAGGAACCATGCGACGAGGAAGCCGAAGAGCACAGCGTCGTTGGCCTCGCGGTCGTACCAGGGCACGCCGATGGCACAGCTCTCCCACAGCTCACTCTTCCAGCGGTCCAGGCTCCAGGCGGTCGCTCCCACGTCCAGCAGCACCACGGCTGGGCTGCCCTCGATCAGCCAGCGCCCAAAGTGCACCTGCACCCCAAAACGGGTTAAGGGAGCCCCCAAAAATGGGGCGGAGGAGACCTAGAGTGGGCTAACGGCGCCCAGGATGGGTTAAAGGAGACCACAAGTGGCAAAAGGGAGAGCTGAAATGGGATGAGAGAGCCTGAGAGTGTGTTTGAGTCCAAAAATGGGTTAAGGGAGCCTAAAAGTGCATTAATGGAGCCCTAAGAAACGTCAAAAGGAACCTGAAATAGGTTAAGAGTGCCTAAAGTTGGGTGAACAATGCCCAAAATGAGTTAAAAGAGCCTTAAAATGGGCTAAAAGAGCCTTAAAATGGGCTAAAAGAATCTTAAAATGGGTGAATGGTCCCCAGACCCCGTTAAAGGACCCTGAAAATACGATAAGAGAGATCTCAAATGGGCCAAAAGAACACGAAGATGGGTTGAAAGCACTCAAAATGGGTTAAACAAGATCTGAAAAGGTTATAAGAACCTTAAAACGGGTGAAAAAAATCTCAAAGCAGGTTAAGGTAGCCTAAATAGGGGTCAGAGAAATCCTGAAATGGGTTACTGGTCCTCCAGAATTAATTAACAGGCTCTTAATTGGGTGAACATTCCCCCCAAAACGTGATGTTTGCTCTGCAAATGGATTATCTGATAGCTATCCTCTGATGGGACTAAAATCCCCCAAAATGGGTTCATATCCCCCAAAATGCGTTCATATCCCCCAAAATGGGTGAACGTCCCCACAAAAACACAACAGTGCCCCCCCCAGCGTGGGGGTGGGGCTGTGACCTTTTCTGCCCTTTCCTACGCAGGGACAGGGAAAAGGGGGAACTTGAGCTGGGGGCTAAAAATAGCCCCCACGTGGGGGGGGGAAGGGCAGGGCCACCCCCCCCACACACCCCCCATGGGTGCCACAAGGCCCCACCCCTCACCCTGGTGTCCCACTGGGGTCGTTGGGTGCCTTCATCCCAAGCGCCCTACATCCCACATCCCCCCACCACGTTGGTCGGTGCCCCCACCCCATGCTCCCCCCACCCCCCATTTTCCAATGTCTCCTCCATCCCGAGTCCCAGCCCTATACCCACATCCCCCCTACCCCCAAGTCCCC